CACAGTGGGAAGACCTCAGCTTCCACCTGCGCTGGAAAACCTTTCCCAATAACTTCATCCGTTTATTAACTGATTAATTTACAAGAGCACTGAAGAAGAGTCAAGAAACTCAGGTTTCCGTCAGCTCCAAATCTCTAACCTTGGGCTCAAAGTCAATCTCTCTGTTGGGAAAGTGGTTAATATCTAATATCCGTTGAACCTACTCTGCACGGGAGTTAAAGGATCAAAGGAGACTAAAGAGTATGAAAGTGCTTTGCAAAGCATACGATGACACACATGCAAGGGGTCCTTACTGTCTTGGTTACAGGAAGACCTCATGTGTACAGAGATCTCTCATCTGGTTATCTCAGCTCTCACAACAGAGAACCCAGAAGAAAAAGTATCTCAATCTCAGGCAACCGACTCCCTAAGGTTACGTACCTAGCCACGGCAGAATCCTCCAGGTCCTTCTGCAATGCCTTTTCGCGCTCTCTTTACCCCAAATTCTAATGAGTTTGTTTTTCTGTGCCCTAAATAGCACGGCAAACCTTGAAACAGCAAAACTCAGGGAGGGAGGTCACCGGAGTCAAGAATTCAAAAACATCAGAGACTGTGGGGCAAACAGCCCTAATAATACTTAGGTAATCCTTGAGGAAACTCGAATAACCTTATATTCTCAAGGATAATCCTGAATCCTACAGAAAAGCTTACGTATGCCTTTATAGAGAGACCATATGTTGATATATTCTATGTAAGAAAGCAGGGAATTTTAGAGAGACTTTAGAAAAATTTCTATATAAGAAGATGTTGCTGAGGACATGAAGTGCTACACCACTGACTGTATTCCCCTCTCACTTCGGTTCAAGGTCAAATTTGCAGCCCAACTGCAAAAGCTAGAGGGCCATATGGTTTGCATATCTGTAGTCTATTTTTTTTTTTTTTTTTTTTTTTGTTCCCGGCCCCTCCCTCCTGGGGGCCCTCCTGTTGCGGAGCACAGGCTCCCGACGCGCAGGCTCAGCGGCCATGGCTCACGGGCCCAGCCGCTCCGCGGCATGTGGTATCTTCCCAGACCGGGGCACGAACCCGTGTCCCCTGCATCGGCAGGCGGACTCTCAACCACTGCGCCACCAGGGAAGCCCTGTAGCCTATTTTTTCCTCCTAGTTTCAACATTCTATTTTAATTTGTGTTTTTCCTGTTTCTTATTTCTTTATTATTTACATTATGCTGTTTTATTGTTTTCCTTGTAAGTCACCTCAGAAATTTTGTGGAACAAGACGGGACTATAAATAAATCAATACATACATCTTGTATATGCAGCATAATGCTTTACAAAGTAGGCATTCAAAACAGTGTATTTTCTACAGAGAAGACGGTGACAATACCAGATGAACGGGAGTGATTCGGAATTATTATTATCTTTAGTTTTATTTTTCCATCTTCTATTTCTGATCTTTATCATCTTTTCCATCTTCTAATTTCCACTGTAATTGAGGACGATGAGAAAGGGAGTAAAGCTCTGTAAACTGGTCACAAAAGTAACGACCACATAAAAGGCAATTCCAGGGCTGAAGGATCAATGAAAATGCCTTGGAAAACAATTCCGCACACAGTCCTGTTCTTCCTTTTTCTTTTATCTTTATGAGGCAACCCTCCTCTGGAGGAAATCTAAGCCAATTCTCAGCCCATGTGTGTTTCTCTATAAAACCAGAGAGAAGGGCAATAAAATCAAAAGTTACCCATGGCTCAAAGGTCCGTATTATCCTGAGGCCTCACAATGTTACCACATTCCTCATTCTTTCTGATCTTCTAAGTAAGATGGTAAGTTGGCCAGAAAGCTTAAAGGGTACTACTGTGTTTTCGCAGGCGGAAGTCAAAGAACCTGAGAATCGGCCTTCAGCGTTCGCCTCTCCTGGCAAGCAGGGTCCAGTCCCTTGTTAGGAGCTAGTAAACCATCAGCAACTACCGTGGAACCGACAGCCCATAAAGACTCAGCCAAACGCCACGCTGAGTTCCCTGCATCCCAAAGGCAGAGGAATAGGCTCGGAGGAGGGAACCCAGGTTCTAGACCCAGCTCTAACAGTGTCTCAGTATGCGGCTCTGGAGAAGACACCCCTCCTGTCTGTGCACCTCGGTAACTGGAGGTGATAATTCCTGACACACCTACCTTCCCGGGGAGTCATGAAGCTAACACTGGATAACTTACGATGATATTTAGACGCATCCATGGGAGCTGGCTGTTTTCAATCTGTACTCCCCTTGCCCTCCGTACGCTTCTAATAGCATACCTGCCAGATTATCTCTTAACTACCTGTTTACGTGTCTGTCCACGTGGCTAAACTAAGAGCCCCGCGAGAACAGAAAGTAGGTCAAATTCATCCCGCCATCTCTCAGTTTCTAGAACATCATTTGACACATAGCAGGTGCTCAATATTATGTTTTCTGAATGTCAAAAAAGAAAGAAATTTTTGAAAACTACTCAACAACAAAATCCTTAAGATGTCTGACTTTGTGACATCAGAAAACAAACAAACAAACAAACAGATCCTCAAAGGGAAAAAAAACTGCTGTCTTAAAGCAGAGGGTCTCTAATGGCTTTTCAACAATCTGGAGGCTGTCCCTCAAAACAAACTTTAGCTTTTAAGGACTTCCCAGTTTACAAAACAAACTAACAGTTTCTCGTTTAATCTTTACAAAAACTCTGCAAGACACGTAATTCTTGCCTAAAAGGGAAAACTGGGTTGGAGAGAAATTAAGTCATTTGTCCACAAACACAGGGAACTCACCAGCTACTGCTATGACACTAGCCGGCTGAGCACGTTTAATGAATTCACTGAAGCAAGCTGACTGAATAGAACATGCAGGGCAGCCAGCCAAGTGCACTGGGGGATAAAAGATGATCCAGACACATCTCAAGGACTGTCTCGGGGGTCTAAGCTATGGACACAGATAATCACCAAGAAAGACATCAAACTTGATGGGAGTTCCGAGGAGAGGGCATAAAGGGAGAACCTGGGGGACAGAGGTATTCAGTCTGGGGGTGGGCCCGGGTGAGACGTGGGGAAGGACATCCCAGCAAAGGGAACAGCAGGAATGAAACCAGAGAGGGCAACAGTCACATTAACAGGAAGAAAGGCAGGAGAGATGGACAGGGTGAGAGAGGAGTGAGATGGAAATGGGCACAGCCAGACGTTGATTTCAAGGTGCTGGGAATATCTCAGTGGAGGTATCCAGCTGGCCGCTGGAAAGGCTGGTGTGCCATGGGGGAGAGAAGTGGGAAACAGAAATTCACAGCTGCACGTGTGCAAAGTGAGAGTCAGGAGGCCAAGGGAACGTGGAGAAGACAACCTTGAAAATGGGGGAGGAGGAAGAGAAAGCAAAGCAAGTGTGGTCCAGGAAGGAGAAGCAGGATCCTCCCTGGGTACAGCGACAGGGTCTGGAAGGACACAGGAAGACGAAGACGGAGGAAAAAGCTGCGCAACGCGGGCAGTATGCAGTCACCTGTGACACCCGAGGGAGCAGTTTTGGTCCAACCAAAGAGGGTGTGAGTGAATAAAAGGCAGATTACTGGAACCGAGGAGTGAACTGGACTAGAAGTGAGGGTAAATTCCAGAACTTTGACAGAGGCCATGGGAAAATACAAACTACATCCTCAGACCTCTTGACGCCTCTGGTGGTCCTCGGTTACAAGTGCTCAAAGTGAGGGCTTCGGTCCATCCCATGGGACTGAGGGGCCAGTGCATCGCCTCACTCAGAGTCTCGTCTCATCAGCTCCAGACAAACACCACCATATAGAAGGTTTGATTTTTTAACACTGGAGTGGTATTTAAAATTTTGTCGTGACGTGAATACATCAGAGCAGAGTCATATACAGTCGCCCCCTTGAGAGGTCCCACACTGTTCTAATGATACCGTCACTACACGGCACCTGCTCTGATTCCCTCTTCAACCCCTTCCCTCAGTCCTCAGGCAGCACATGGACCCCACATAAACTCTCCAACGTTAGCTATCATTACTGCCATCGTGGTTACTGCTCCTCAGCTTGACGGCCTACTTTATTCCCTAGACTTGCCTCTAAGTGACTCTTTTCACCTAAAAGCTGCCTCAAAAGCCCAAGGTTTGTCAGCCCAGGGGATGTTCTGAGCGATGAGGGACAGCAGCCCCTTTGGAAAGAGCATTCCACCTGCAGGGGGACCGTGTGGACGGGACGCCGCGCGTGGACCTAAGCTCAGCGTGTCCCCCCGCCTGTGTCCCCTCCACCACCCGTCAGCATCCGGACCGCCTGCCTTATACTGCAAGCTCCCAAACACTGAGGGTCCTGCTTCAAACACAAACACCCCCAGGTTCAAAAACCAAACCACAAGGCAAACAGGTTTAGCCAGACAGGTTTAGTGGTGACAAGGATGCTGAACTCAGAAGAGGTACCGTCAGACTAATTCACCCTCTCTGGGAGTCAGTTTCTCTGACATCAAGTGAGGGGCTTGGACTAAAAGCCCTCTAAGATGCCTTTCTTCTTAAAATCAAACGAATTAAAAGCTGCCCTGGGCTTCCCTGGTGGCGCAGTGGTTGGGAGTCCACCTGCCGATGCAGGGGACATGGGTTCGTGCCCCGGTCCGGGAAGATCCCACATGCCGCGGAGCGGTTGGGCCTGTGGGCCATGGCCGCTGAGCCTGCGCGTCCGGAGGCTGTGCTCTGCAACGGGAGAGGCCACAGCAGTGAGAGGCCCACGTACCGAAAAAGAAAAAAAAAAAGCTGCCATGATTTGGGTGGTTATTAAAACCTTATGGAGACTGTGAAGGGAGAGGAGATGAATTTTCGGTATCAAGTGAAAGGTGTCAGCAAGGATCCAAGGAAAGGAGAGGGAGGACAGAGACCCGGGGTGAAGGTCAGGGGGCAGCCCCAGCCCCATGAGAAATGGGGGCAGGCAGGGCATCCCCTCCATGCGGGCGTCTGTTTGTCTTGTTCTCAGTCTCCCTGGCCCCCCAGCCCCTGTCAGCACGGCCCCTGGTGGGAGGGTCCTCACCCATCATGTTGTTGGCTCGAGAGCAGGTGGTGCGCTTCAGGATCTCGTGTACCTAAAACAGATGACAGTTCGGCCATGAGCATCTGGGCCACATGGTGCGTGCCCAGCCCGGGGGCGGGGGGGATGGGCAGGCATGTGCCAAGCTCACGGACATTCCAACAAAGCATCTAACCCCTCACACACACACACCCCGTTTGCCACCCCGCCCCGCAAAATAAAGAAAAGCCTGTAAATTGACTGCAGTTACAGGAGGGAAGGGGAGCCCAGACTCACATCCCTCTGGAGGGCCCAGGAGGAAGCCGGGAGGGAAGGCGAGGGGGGGCGTGCCCGCCCCACCAGCCCCAACAGTGCCCTGCTGCTGAGGGGTCCTGAGCGAGCTCCCTGCAGGTCCTGAGGGCCCGCGGGCCCCCCTGCAATGGAGCTGTCTCTCAGAGCTGCTTTGGGGACCCATGAAAGCGCTTTGGCAACTAGAAAAGGGCCACCTACATCTTGGTCCTTGGTGCTATCACTTCTCTGCTTTTCCCCCAAGTCCTTATCACGCCTCCCCAGTCAGAGCAGGTCCCACCCATCCTCAAGACTCCAGGTGTCACAGTGCATCCTGGGCACACGGCAGGCTGCTGCTCCGTGACCGCTGCGCCATCAACAGGTCAACAGCCCCGACTGCGGGGCCTGCAGGGACCCCGTCGCTCACTCAGGAGGGCAGGGTGCCGAGAGCACCCCAGCCAAGGAAGCAGGGACCCAGGGCAGAGTAAACCTGCAGGCCAACTAGTGCCCTCCAAGGGGTCTCAAGCCTGCTCCCGGCTCCAGGAAGGAAGTCGGCGTTGGGACAGACAGCTGGGCTGCCCAGACGCCCACAGGAAAGGGGTTACTGGGAGATGCAGGTGAGGTCCTCAGACCAAAGCCCAGGGCGGAGCAGACCCCAGGACAAAACCCAAGGCCCTTTTCTCCCCCCGTCACAATGTGCGGTGGACTGGGAAAAGGGCAGGAGGGGAAGGAAGAAGCTTCCAGAACGAGAAAAGATGTGTTACTCCATCATCATTCACACTCCCACGTTCCAGCCACAGACCTACAGGGAGTGGTAAATAAATAACTTCCAGCAGAATGGGGCCGAAGAATGTTTAATTCACTTCTAATGCGGTGCAGTATCCAACTGCAATAATAATTAGGAACAGCATTTATATGGCAGCCTATCATTCTACAAGCACTTTGCAATTATCGGGTAATTTCCACAGTGCCCTATAACGTCCCCCCCAGTCGTGGGACCCAAGCTGTGGGGAGACTTACAGCTTGTAACAGCATCAACTAAAACAATGGGAAGCTTATGCTTTTTTCTGTAGGAAGATAAAAGAAATCGTATGCCCGTGTTAAATCTTCCTAGAGCACTAGGCCAAGGGACCTGAGGTGTTTTCTTGCCCATCCTACAAGCAAAGAGTCAGGGCCGTGTTTTCAGCGTGACTTGGAAATGTTCTGTATCTTCCTCCAGTCACCTGCCCCTTCTTACCCTTCTCATCACCCTGCTGACTTGGAAGTCCTCTAGGTATCTAACGCTTATTCCTCCTCCTGTTGAAACTTAAGTTCTTTCCTAGGGATCGAGGGAAACACACTGCCATGTTTCCACTGTGGCCTAAGTGACCAGCGTTCCTTGGGCCCCTTTTTCTCTCCCCTCTTCTGTCCATAGGCTGGATGGTCTCCAGGGGTGGAGGGGATAAATGGATCAGTGAACAGAGATGCCCTACAGCTCAGACTGGGGCCGCAGGGCCCAGGCCCTATGCAGATTTTCAGTGGAATCAACCATCCTGCAAAATCCAAAACCTTGACTGCAAAAGGCAAGAAGACAGTAGAAGAATGGCTACAGTCACAAATGCTGGCTTCCTATTGAACGGGCTGGTAATTCTGTCCTTGGACAAACTGCCCAGCTCTAGCATTCCCCGTGACAGCAACGCGCAGGACTTCTTTGGGAATGAAAGAAAGAAACTCAGCAGCCCAGCAATGAGCCCTCATTTGGACACAAAACGATCTGCCTGAACTTTTTTCCAATTCATTGCATCTCAGAGCCTCAGTTTCCTCAACAGTCAAGCAAGGGGGTCACCTGACTACCTGAAAGTCCCCCCCAGCCCTGACATTCCCTGCTTTTGTGATTCCAAGAAGGGCCTGGGTGGAGAACCATAAAGAGGAGACCCCCGTCTCAAGCCAAGAGTGAGAAGAGTTGTTGGCTTTTTCGATACTGGGATTGGGAAGCTCCTGGACGCTCCTTCCAGTTGCTAGGCAACTCCAAGCAAAGGATGATGGGAGGCAGCAGGGAGGGCAAGAGATGCCCTGCCAAAGGGGACTCAGGCTTCCTCTCCCCCCCGCCCCGAGCCCACCACACCTGGTTAAGCACCTGGTTAACTGGTTTACTTACAATGCGGCTACGGGTAGCATTATCAAAGAAGGTGTCCTCGTCCTGTATGTTGTACCTGGTGACACCAAGAAAGCAGGTCAATTCATTTCATTATCCTTGTCCTGGGACTACTGTCACCCCAGGCCCAGAGCAAACCTCTAGAAAGCAACATAGCAAGATGTGTAAGCCACACACACACACTCACAACATTTACACTCTTTCTGACCCAGTAATTCTGAAAACTTATCATAGAAATGTATCACTGGGAAAATTAATTCAGTGGAAAAAAAAGGTCCATGAATTAAAATGTTCATTACAAACTTACTTATAACAAAGATTATGGAGCTAAGACGCAATTCCAAAACCTAAAGGATAGATTATCACATAGCCATTGAAAATTATAATTATGAAAACTTTAGAAATACTGTAGAAAAAGTGAGACTATCATAGAAAAACATGATACTATGATAAGTTTTAAAAATGAAAGTATATAAAAAGGATTCCTGTGTGTGGACAAAGAGAGTAAAAACACAACAACGGGGAACTCCCTGGCTGTCCAGTGGTTAGGACTCAGCACTGCCACTGCCGAGGACCCAGGTTCAATCCCTGGTCAGGGAACTAAGATCCTGCAAGCCGCACGGCGTGGCTGGGAAAAAAAAACCTCAACAACAGAAAAGAGTGCAGTTTCAGGATGTTGGGCTTATAACTGTTTTTCAAAATTTTATTTAATGTTGTCACTGTTGTCACAGCAATTAGATACCAAACTCCCAATTATGCAAGACATGTGCCTGTTGTAAACTTCAAATGTTGACCTTTCACTCAAAAAACCAGCTGTGTGGAATAAAGACACAGACGCAGAGAATGGACTTGAGGACACGGGGAGGGGCAGGGGAAGCTGGGACGAAGTGAGAGAGTGGCATGGACATATATACACTACCAAGCGTAAAACAGATAGCTAGTGGGAAGCAGCCGCATAGCACAGGGAGATCAGCTCGGTGCTTTGTGACCCCCTAGAGGGGTGGGATAGGGAGGGTGGGAGGGAGGGAGACGCAAGAGGGAGGAGATATGGGAACATATGTTTATGTATAACTGATTCACTTTGTTACACAGCAGAAACTAACACACCATTGTAAAGCAATTATACTCCAATAAAGATGTTAAAAAAAAAAAAAAACCACCTGTGTGACTGTCCTTAGGGCACTGTGCTGGAGGGCACACAGACACCTGAACCATGCCCCCGGCCCCCTGGGAGCCCAGCCACTGGGGATGGGGGCAGGGGGTGTTTCCAAGCAATTGATGCAGAGGAGAACGTGGCCACATGCAGACCACTGCTGTGAAAACTCAGAGGATGGAGAGCATATTCTGGCTGGGGGTGAAGAACTGGCCTGGGGATCACAGGGGCTGAGTGAATGCAGCCGTGTGGGAGGTGGCCGGTCAGATGCCAGCGCCGGTGTGGAGACAGCGCCCAAGGAAGGGGGGGATATAGAGGATGCTCAGAGTGCAAAAACAACAGCCGGCCAGGAGGTCAACGTGCCAATCCCAGTCCAGCCACTTAAGCTTTCATGACCTTGGACAGATCCTGGGCCTTGGTTTCCTCTCCATAATAGAGGGATAGTTATATCTGGACGGCCGCTTCACAATGGGAGTGTGACACTGTGATTTATAATAAATATATATTTTGGTCTTTATCCCCTGTGCTCACAGCTTCCCAAGCCCTAGGAATTTTCTGAGCCATAAGAGCCATTGAGCATTTTCGGAGCCAAAAGAGCATCTTTTGTTACAGTATTTGGTCTCCTGTCCTCAGTTCCTGAAATTGCTTCAGAGCCATAAAGGTGACAGGAGTGTCGTGTTATTCCTAACAAGCCCCTTTCAAGCACCAGTGAGTTTATGTTAACGAGGTGACTTTTGGAAAGCCGCTAAGGATAGGGCTGGTTGCCAGGGAAACCACCAGGATTTAGGGTTGGAACTTTCAGTCCTACCCGCTGATTTCGGGGGAGCAGAGCGGGACTGGAGGTTGAATCAATCACCAATGGCCAATGATTTGATCAATCACACCTATGGAATGAAACCTCCATAAAAATCCAAAAGGATGCAGTTTGAACAGCTTCTGGGTTGGTGAATCAAAACGCTTTCACGCTGAGCCCGAAACTCACGAGGACAGAAGCTCCGTTGTTTGGGACCTCGCCTTATGTATCTCTTCACCTGGCTGTTGACCTGTATCCTTTAACATCCTTTATAATAAACCGGTAATCCAGCGAGTAAACTGGTTTCCTGAGTTCTGTGAGCCACTCTAGCAAATTAGTCAAACACAAGGAGGGGGTCGTAAGAACCTCTGACTTGTAGCCAGTCGGTCAGAAGCACAGGTCGCAACCTGGACTTGCTCAGGCATCTGAAGTGCGGGGCAGTCTTGTGACACTGAGCCCTCAGCCTGAGCAACCCGATGCTATTTCCAGGTAAACAGTGTCAGAACTGAGTTGAATTGTAGGGCACCCAGCTGGTGTCGGAGAATTTCTTGGTGGCGCGGGAAAACCCACACACACATTGGAACTGGTGACCAGAATTGGTACCAGACGCGTTAAGGGGTAAAAACTCAATGAGGGAGCATATGCATGTGTACAGAATTGTTATCTAACATGGCAAAGTGGGCAGAGATGGTACCCAATGAATGGCAGAAACACAGCCCATCGATGCCATCTCCTCCAAAAGCACAGATCCTGTATCTTTTCTTCCTTTCCAAGCCCATTCCTTTCCCTCTCTCACTCGATTCTCTTACCACTCTTGATAGTTTCTTATTTTATCATTAGCTCCTAAAACAGAATTAGTGCTTGGCTTCTGCATCTCCCACTTCCCAACCATGACTCGCCCTTCCAAAGGCTTCCCAAAAGGCCATCCCTGAGAAGAAAACCTATTCCCTCCCCTCCTCTGGGTCAGTGAGGGCACGAGCTGGCAGCTGAGAAGACAGACGTCCAGAAGCTTCATCCACCATCTCTCTGGATTATCACAATATCTTGAAACCCTGTTAGACTGGGAACAGACCAGAGTGGTCTCCCTGCAGAAGGTAAACAGGTATCGGACCACTTTGCTCACAGAGTCCCGAAGTTTCTGGCTGTCTGCTCCCTGATTCTCCATCCATCACGCAAAGTGACTGAAATGGCAGGTTTTCCCAGAAGCCACGGGATGAACATTCAAGAGCTATCTGCGATCATCTCGCTCAGGGACAGGGATTGGGAAGGCAGACACACGGAGTATTCCACCCTGAGAGCAGGCTTCCTCCCCCATCTCCCAGGCACCCGGGCACTCGGCTCATGAGCTGAGGCCCCAAGTGGTGCTTGATGTCCCTTCCCATCCCCCACGCAGCCCCACCTCCAGAGTTCCAATACTCACAGGTACATTCTCTCCCTGGAAAACGGGTAGGAGAGGTTTTTCATCCTGTCGTTACTGCGCTCGGGCACTCGGGGCTTCAGGGGTGCGCTCAGCTTCTGCAGGATCTCGTTGAACGTCTTCGCGATGCTGCCTTCTGACTTGATCACGTACCTCTACGACGGCAAAGCCACGGGTGTGAGGAGGAGGCCGCGTCCAACGCTCAGAGGAGAAGGACCCACAGCCAGAGCTGCAGGGGGCTCAGATTCCCCCCGTAGGGGACACTCTGGGGAGAGGACGAGACTGGGGAAGCCAGCAGGAGGGTCCTACCCTTCCTCCCCTGCTTTCACAAGGTAGTGAACCCCCTCAACTGTTTGCACGAATGGAGGTGACCAGTGCAGGGAAGGAGGAGCGCGGTGACGAGCGCAGACTTTCTATACATCTTTGTTATATCATCACAGAAGACCTACTGTGTGACCGTCACCATACTAAGGGCTTTACTCAAATGAGCTCCAATGCCCACTGCACCCAGCCAGCTAGATAAGATTACTCTCCTGTTATGATGAGGAAATTAAGGCTCAAAAAGGTGAGATGAGTCAACAAAGGTCACACAGATAGTAACTGGGCGACTGCTTGGATCTAACTCATGTCAACCCAATCCCAAGTCTGTACTCTCCAAGCAGACCACGCCCCTATGTGACGATCCAGCATCACTTCTCTTGTGCTCTTCTTAGGAGACATCTGATAAATGAGTCTGCTTTCAAAGTACTAAGCACCTACTGAGTACCTGCCTCGAGTAAAGCACTGCGTCAGTACCAAGATAAGCACTGGTATCTATAGTACCTATGGTTTTTCATAACGTACAGAGTGCGTCTGCACACACTATAGCTTCTGGTCTTTCTAATTTACGGATGTTGTCATTGAGACACAGAGGTTGTACTTGTCATAGCAAAGCTCTGGTGGATTAACAATGGCCACAGATTTTTTCTCCACACAACTTCTCCATTCAAGAGATGGCATCTCTGTTTCCACCCCCTTAAGTCTGGACAGGCTCTGGGGCTGCCTGCCCAGTGCAGCAGAAGGGACACTATGCCAGTTCCACCCTTTAAGAAGATGGGCAGCTTCTGCCTTGGTCTGCCTTCGTCTCTTGAAGCTCTGAGCCGCCTGCAGGATGTCTGAGGAGACATGCGGAGAGGACTCAGACAGGGAAAGGACGAGGTTGAGCCCAACCTTCCACCTACCCTGCCAAGCATCAGGCGTGTGAGGGAGGCTTTCTTGGACATTGCTGTCCAGCTCAACCCCAAGCCGAATACCACCAAATGACCCAACACCACGTGGAGAAGAATCACCCCGTCTAGCTCTGCTCAAGATACTGAGCAAAAATTCATAGGACGGAATAAAATGGCTGTGTCTTACTGAGTAAGCTGGGGCTAATTTGTCCTGCTGCAGTAGATGACCAGAATAAGAGTCACAGCCAGACCCTCCGACTGGAAAGCCGGCTGTGTTCTCCAACAAGATATCCTTAAGATGCTTAAATCTAGAGAGGCTGTAAAACATGTACAAAACACTTGCAATATTGATGGAGATAAATGCCACAAAAGACACTCAAAATGCTTTGAGGGCTCAAAGAAAGGAGACAGCACGTCCAGCTGAAGAATCAGAAAAGTGCTTCCTAAGGAGAGCAGCATTTCTGTTGGGACTTGAACAGAAAGGTAACCTTCTTTTGTTTTTCTGTTCTTTAATAAAATCATGATAATCAGTGGGAAGGGTGAGAACCTCCCCAATCTAACAACTGAAACACAAGCCCAGTTTATTTATTTCTTCTGATACACTTCTCTATGCATTTTGACTTAATTTCAATCACAAAATTAACACAGTTCTAGTAAACAAAGAAACCAAAACCAGGGACTTCCCTGACGGTCCAGTGGATAAGTCTCCACGCTTCCACTGCAGGGGGGGCACGGGTTCAATCCTTGGCCAGGGAACGAAGATCCCACATGCCATGCGGTGTGGCCAAAAAAAAAGAGACCAAAACCAAAAAGTATATTAACTAACGTTAACAGCTTTCCCTTCACTTCCAATCCCAACCCATCCTCCACTCCATAGGAAATCTCCATTCAGAATTTGGAGTATGTTTTATACTGACTCTCTCCATACATATTATATGTAACTGAATCCCTTTCCAAACACACCTGTGATCATACTTCACAGGTACAATGGTATAATTCTACAATTTGCTTTTCTCGTTTAGCAATATATCCCGAGTACGTGTCTTTCCAAGTCAGTCCACGTAGAACTACCTTCATGAAGGCACCATATGACACAGTGGGTACGAGTTCTAATTTGTTTAGTCACTTCCCTAGTGATGGGCATTTCTTTTAGCCTCTACACGTGTTTTATCTTCTTTGATCATACTTCTATTAACCTCACCTTATACATACTTTTAATGAATCAGGCTCGAACAGATATCAGCAAAGACATTCCAAGCCAACCAAAAAAGTAAAAAAGTTCAAGCTGGATTTAAGAAGGGTTCACAGCCTGGTTCTTTGGTGCTCGGGTTCTGATGGGGGAATCGTGACAGTTCACGGCAGAAAGGCACACGGAGACCAGTGCGCGGAGATCCCGCTGCACGAGGCGACGGGAAGTCAGCGAAGGGTGTGAACAAGGACAACATCAGAGCTGTGAATCAAAAAATTCATCAGGCAGGGTTCTGCACAAAGAAGCAGCCAGCCTTCTGAACCGAGGGGACCGTTTACTTCTGGGAGCACAGGCCATTTCTAAGCATCTCCTATGCACCTGGCTTGATGTACATCAGCACTGATCTTAAAGACGTGCCTCTAAAAACCGAGAGGGGTTGGGCTTCCCTGGTGGCGCAGTGGCTGAGAGTCCGCCTGCCGATGCAGGGGACACGGGTTCGTGCCCCGCTCCGGGAAGATCCCGCATGCCGCGGAGCGGCTAGGCCCATGAGCCGTGGCCGCTGAGCCTGCGCGTCCGGAGCCTGTGCTCCGCAACGGGAGAGGCCACGGCAGTGAGAGGCCCGTGTACCGCAAAGAAAAAAAACAACGAGAGGGGTTAAGAATCTCAGTCGAGATCACACAGAGAGTGTCAACCAGATAGTAAGTGCTGGAGCCTCGGAACCTCGTGGCAGAGCCTGCGACCTTGGCTGCTTCACTCTACTCTCCCTCTGCTGCGACGTGAGTGAACATCGGGGAAAAACACTGTGCGCCTTACTCTACTGCCCCTACTGTCATAAAGCTCTTGACCCTCCTGCCGTCGGTCACCTAGACGCAAAGAGCTCACCTCTGGGGCATCCTTGGGCCTGGAGGGACGGGGGCAGAAAGATGACCCGTTCACCGTGTCCCAACACATCTCACAGGTCATCTAGGGCAGGTTCCAACCTGGCACGTGTCCTGCAGCGTGTTCACCATACCCGTAACCATGCGTCTTTAAAGGGCATGTGCGTGGCAATTCAAGTTTCAGAGCAGGAGGGAAGCTGACTGGCTCTGCATCCTACATGCCTTGAAACGACAGACTTGGACCGACCGAGGGTGTTTCTCCTTTGTCCACTTCTCCCCATGTCCACCTCTGGTTTCCTAGTCTAAGGAGGCTTCAGCTACAGCAATAACTGGCTTCCCACCTCTCTTGCTTAGGGCTGCCAGAGTTAACAAATAAAAATGCAAGAAGTCCGGTTAAATGTGCATTGGAGGTAAACGATAAATTTTAACTTTTAATGAAACAATTTTTTCATTAAAAAAGACAACCGGAGGGCATACTCACATAAAAAAAATTATACTAGAGCCACAATAATTTTTTTGTATAAGTATGTCCGCTGCAGTATTTAGGACATACTTATGTTGATACTAAACAAAGTATATTCATTGTTTATTTGAACTTTGGATTTAACTAGGCATGCTGTATTTTATCTGGCAACCCCACTTTTGTCCACCTTTAATTCGGTCTCCACGTTTGAGCCAGAGTGATGTTTCTGAAGCAAAAATCTGATCATGTCACCTCCCTGCGGAAAAGTCTTCAACCATCACCCATTGCTCTTATGATAAAAACCAAAATTCTCCACGCAGCCTGGGGGGTCCTGTAGAAGTCTCCACCTTCTCCTTGCCCCACGGTCCCCTGCTCACTGCACCCAGCCACCAGCCTCGGGCAGCATTTTTAGTACTCTATACCCTTCGCCTTCTCCCTCCCCCTCACCAGCCTGTGCTCACACTTGAGCTCTCACTCAATTGTGACTTCCTGGGGGAAGTCTTTCCTGGCTTCCAGACAAGGTCAAGCCCCATCTTCACAGCATTTCGAGGGCCCAAATTCCTCTCCTTCACAGCACTTATCGTAGTTGTGATTTTACATTTATTTGAATAACTATTTGATTCATGTCCAGCCTCCCCACCAAACAATCTCCACGAAGGCAGGACGCTGTCAAACCAGCCCCTATGGTTAAACGAACGAACGAATGATAAATCTCTGGGGACCCAGCACTGACGACAGCGCTTGCTGCCACTGCAGGAGCCCAGGCCGGGGACAGAACAGTCAGTCGTCAGGTAACAGGCCCTGGTAGAGGGAAACCAGGATGGAGAATAAAGCCACCGCCCAAAGCCACCGGCCGGCCGAAAGGTCTCCCGGCCTGTCGGCACCAGCTGCAAGGGCGCGCGGGGTTGCCCAGTCCCGGCAGGGGCCAGGAGGGCCTGTATTCAATCCATGCGGATTAACAACCAGCACCTGCCCCAGGGCCTTGTCCTGGAAGACGGTTAGCTGAGCACCTCTGAGCTGGTCTTGAACCTCCTCTTAGCAGTGGGTCTGGCAGAGCTCCCTAGAGAAGCGAGCTAAGGGGAATGGGGCCTGTGGCATGTTTCTGGAGGGACCAGGGATGGGACCAGGATAAATCCTGACTATTCCCTGATGGGGGGAGGGGTGCTCCAAAGCCCTACAAATAGCATCATTTACCTCCAGGAAAAATGTAAACGGTGCAAAAGGCCAGAGTCCCACCAGAACCGTCAAGGCGACCTCCACCCCACAGCCCTGATGGAGGCCCTACACACACACCCGGGCAGACACAACGGCCCATGCCCACAGTCAAACGTGGCAGGCGGCCCCATGCACGCTACCGCGGATGCTAAGCTTGGAGGACAAAGGACCTGCTTCCTGCCTCTGTGCCTTGGCACGTGTC